CCCGGCCCGCCCCGCGCGCACTGCGGAAGGCCGCTCACCTGTTCCACCTTGCCCCTCCGGCCGAGGCTCTGCGCTCTGCCTCCCGTCGCCGTCTTGCCCGCGCCGGCCCTGCAGTAAGCCCCAGCGGCGGCGGTAGGGACGCCGTACGGGTGCGGGGCCCTGGCCTGCGACGGGGCCACGGAGGAGACCAGGGCGGGCTGCACCAGCCACTGCAGGTCCGGGCTGGTTGAGATGGCAGTCACCGTGGGGATGAAGCTGGCGCTCGAGACGGCAAGGTCCGCACAGAAGTCCTGCAGCAGAGCGGCGGGGGACGCGGGCGTGAGCGCAGGTTCTAGCCGCGAGTCGCGCCGCATGCAGCAGGGAGCCCAAGCCGTCCCCCACGCCTCTCACCCCGGAGCAACGCTCTCGCCCCGGCCCCAGGAAATCCGCAGCGCGGAGCCTTTGCCGGCCTCCTGCCGCTGCCTTCCCGTTATCCCCGCAGCATGCCTCGCTGGGAAGGAGGTTTGTTATAAATATCCCTGACGTCTGAGCTGACGCAGGCGCCGCTCCGGAGTCTCCAGAATGAACTCGCTTTTTATCAATGAAACTGCCTTACGCACTGCCCGCCGCACCCTCCTCCCCGCGCCGTCCTCCCGGCGGCGGGCTGCCGCTTCTGCCGCCTCCCCCGAGACACCGGGTTTAGTTAGCAAGTCTGCCCGGGACACGTCTGCCCCGGCTCCTGCCGGAGGCGAGCGGGCAGCGCTCAGGACGAAGCCGTCGCGGCCAGACGCCCTCGGTCTCGCTATGACCGGCGTGCGTGCGCTCAGAACAAGCCCCAGGCTGCCAACCTGGGGCTGCTCCGGCCCCGGAAGCCTCCCTCCCGGGCAAAGGGAGACGCCGGCCCGTGTCCCTGAGCGTCCCGCCCGCGTCTGCCACCGTCGCGACCCCGGCCTCCCGCCCCCGCAGCGGCTCGAGGCCGGCCTCACCTGCGCGTTGACGGGAGAGCCCATGCTGGAGAAGGAGTGGGCCGGCGAGTGATAGTAGGAGAGACTGTCCCCCGCCGGCGAGGCGCTGCTGCAGCGGGAGGACGCCGCCTCGTAGTCAGCGTTGAAGCCCGAGAACATCATAGCCGCGGCGAGGGGCCGAGGGGCGGAGACAGGTGGGAGCTGCGGAGCAGAGCTGGGGGGGATCGCGGTCACTGCTCGTTCGCTGCGCCGCTGCCGCCTGCTCCGTCTCGGAGTCTCGCCTGCTTGCTGCAGATGCGGTTGGAGTACTAGGCGCCGCAGCCACCGCTTTTATAACAGCATTTTATGAATGAGACAATACGTCACTGGACGCAACCACTGCGGCACGGAGGGGGAGACGCGGGCTCCGGGACGCCTCTGTGGCCGCCTGGCCGCCTCTGCAGCGCTTACAGCCCCAGCCCGTCCTGCTGTGTACCCTTGTCGCATGGATGTTTTGTACTCAGGGTCTTAGGGGTCTCTCGGGCCTCTTCCTATGTGGGACTCTTAGAGGGCTCCCCCCATGACTACAGGGAACGGCCGTGGAAACCTGCTGACGCAGATGTCCTAATATGGACATCCTGTGTAAAGGGGGGAGGGATTGACGGGAACTGCTCCCGGGCTGCAGCCAACACAGAGGGTGCAACGCGGGGGGAGGCCGGGGCCGCGGGCGGGGGAGGGGAGGCGGGACAGGCGGAGAAGGCGAGCGAACATTCGCACCTGGTTCAATGCGGGCCCTTGTTCCGGGGATCGCAAGGATGGGCGGGGGTCGCCTCTTTACGATTGTCCAGAACCAGAGGACAGTTCTGAGGCTCAGGAACGGGAGAAACAGGTACACCAGCCTGAGGGTCTGAAGCCTGGCTCTTGAACAAATGCGTCTACATCCCCCTAATCAGTGCAAAATGTGGGATCAGACCCCAGCCCCTCACCTCCAACCCCGGGGCTCGAGTAATACTACGACTGTGTTTGGAAGAGAAAATGGAAGATCCAAAATAAGAATACGATAACCTACTTTATCTACGATGCTGGGTTCATTCATTCCTCCGTTCATTCCTTCTTGTTTGTAAGGAAGATAGTGAGTGCACTTATTCTGTTTCTTGGCCATATGTAAGGACATTAGTGCTGCTGTCAAACCCCAGACATGAGCCGATAAATATTGTGCAAGACCTCCGTGCGAGAATGCCTGAGGGGTCCTTTGCCTTGTGAGCTGGGGCAGGGGGCTGCGTGGTGTGGGCAGGGGTCAGCTCGGGATGACACAGTGGGGTGAGCTTCTAGGGATAACACAAGTCCGCACTGAGGAGGCGCGAGGGTGAGTGGGTGGAGCGGCTGGTTCGATCCCGCCAGGAAGCTGCGCTTACAGGCAGCCCGCAGCGGGTGATTTTCCAGCTCGGACTTGGAAGGGGGAGGCCCTGGGGGGACTGGAAGCGTCGTGCCTACGGCGGCCAGGCAGGAGACCTCGACTGCTGGGGCCCCGGGAGCGGCTCTGCGTCCCGGAAAATGGGGCTTGGGAAGGGAGGCAAGGAGCCCCGGAATGCGCACCCCTCCAGATGCTCCCAGCCTCCTGCCCGCCGCAAAGGACAGCCGAGGTCACAGTGCCCCGGCTGGGCCCCAGGGAGCCAGCCACCCCTGGGACGGGCGTCCGCAGGTCCCCGCGCAGCCCCTGCCTCTCCTCCCCCACTCCTTGGGCCCCGGGACAGAGCTCAGGGTGGGCACCGGACCGAGGGGCGGGAGACTTAGGGCCGGGCACTGATCCCAGGGGCGCGCGGGGAGCGGAACCGCGAACCTGCCTCCCGCGCCGCGCCCGGAGCCAGGCGATCCTGCTATAGATAGTAACAGGGAAGCGGCTGTTTACAGCAGCGCCGCGCCGCCAGGGCCGTCTCCAGGCGACGCCGCGCGCCCTCCCGGCTCCCCAGCGGCCAGGGCCTTCTCGGCCCCGCGGCGGCCGCCCCAGCCCCTGACATCACGCTTCGGTCCCCGGCTGAGCGCGGCGAGCGCGGGGCTGGCGCTGACCTCCATTCTTAGAGATCCGACCCTGGCGGAGACTGGAGGGCAGGGAGGCGGGGACTCGCGGAACTGGGCCACTTGCTATTTTTGCATTCCCTGTCGCAGGCAGAGGTGAAAACAGAATTTCATCACTGTGTATCACTGGCTTATGACGGTGGGAATGTACGCTGCTTTTTTCTTTCTCACTCAAAAGGGAGGAAGGGAGAAAAGGAAAAACATACACATAAACAGTCTTCTTGGAGCTGCTCTGAACCCTAAAGCAATTAGGTGGCCTTCAGGTCTGCTAATTCTATCATCTGTCAGACCATTCCACTGTCCTTGATCATTGTAGAGACAGAGAGGGAGAGAGAGAGAGAAAGAGAGATTATGAAGACAAATCCATCTCTCCTCTTATTATTAGCTTTGACAAAGTAGGTCAAGCTTTGAATTCCTGGGTCTGCCCTTGCCTTCCATTCACAACTGGATCTCAGAGCCACTTAAGAGAAAATCTAGAATTATTTGATTTACTTCTCCTTCAAAGCAGCTCAGGCCAACACCAAAAAGATGTGTCAAGATTTTATATCCAGGATTTATTTCATATATGTCTTATCCTGCCTTTGCCAATAAAGAAAAGGAGCAGGGTCTTCCGGTGAACCTGACTCCTCCAAGACAGCGTAACCCTTTCCTTCCTGGCACCATTGTGACCAAGGAGCTGAGATTTAATACATCCATCCTCCAAAAAGGGGGCTAGGGATTTAGCTCAGAGGTAAAAGCTCTTGCCTGGCAAGTGCAAGGTGGTGAGTTCGGTTCCCGGTACTGGAGAAAAACGAAACAAAACAAAAAAATCCTCTAAAAAGGACAGACCACATTCACTCTTTCTTTTATTTATTTAACCAAGAACTGTGGGCTCTGCAGGCCCAACACCAGGCTGGAAGCTCCCGCTGGCTGTACTGGACAGGAGGGACCCGTCCCTACTCCCACAGAGATTCCAGCCTCATGGGAAGGTGGACCAGTCGACTGAGGATTGGAAGGCAGCAGTAAGAGGTCTGCAGCGGTAAGAACGGGGAGCTACAGAACACAAAGAGGGTTTGGAGACAGGTCCAAAGGAAGTGGCTGCAATCAGAGGCCTTCATTTTCTGTCCTCTGGGTAAGGAGGTGGTGCGACTGCAGAGGGCCAGAGCACCATCCAGGGAGCAAGCACTCCGCCAGGCGCCTGGAAGTTACATGGTGCAGGCTCAGATTGCCTCTCCTGTGCCACTAACATCCACACCTCCGATGGTTCGAAGATATGTGCACACCTATCTACTCGTGATACCTGTTTCAGGACTGCAGAATCACATGTTAAAATGTGGAGCACAGCCTGGGCTACAAAGTGAGCTCAAGGCCAGCCTGAACTGCATAGCGAGACCCTGTCTCAGAAAAAAGAGGAAATTCTGCCCTTTGCAACAACATGGATGAAATGAACAGATATTATGTTAAATGAAATAAGACTTTATAGACAGATAAATACCAAACGATCTTATGTGTGGAATCTAGAAAATGTCAGACCCGCAGATGCAGGGAGAAGAAAGGTGGTCAGTAGAGTGCGGGGGAGGGCTGGCTAGAGGGGCTGGTCCACAGCTACCAAGCCGCAAATGGGAGAAATACATACACGTGTTCTATCGTAGAGCAGTGACTATAGTTAAGGATAATGTACATTTCAGAATAGCTAAAAGAGGATCTAAATGTCCTCACTGCAAAGAAATTATAAATATTTGAAGTAACAGATGCTAATTCTTCTGATTTAATTTTCCCGCAATGTATACATATATCAAAATATTTTGCACCTCATAAATATATACAGTGATTTTTTTATCATTAAAAATAAAGCATTTTTTTAAAAAGCAGAGGGAAAAAAAGCAGAGCACACTCAATGTAGCATAAAAATAAAGGCAAATCAGAGCCCATATTTGAAATTTTTTTCCCAAGGACCGGGGATATAGCTCAGCAGTACAAGCGCCTGCCTGGCAAGCACAAGGTCCCAAATTCGGTTCCCAGTACCAAAAAGCAAACAAACACACAAATTCTGTTTCTGAAATTATTTTCCCAACATGCAAAGGTGAGAGTGACTTTGAGACGGGTGTGTGCACGCCTCTGTGACCGAGGTGCTCCTCCCAGCAGTGCAGGGATCCATGCTCTGGACAAGTCTGGGCACGTCACACCAGGTAGTGTGTGATTAGCTGTGTGCTGCGTTCCTCCAATCTGGGGATCCAAAAGTGAACAGGAGGATAAAAATCTCACACCTGGCTCTAACTCAAATTGCAAACAAATTCGTTTGTCCTCAGCTGATTTTCCTGATCATGTACGGACTTTTCCTATTGTGCACTCAGATTGGACCCACATCGAGCTGTTCCATAACTTTCCCAGTCGGGTGCGCGCTGCTAGCTGGTATCGTTGCGACACCCGGTGAAAGGCTGCTATCTGCGTCGCCTACGTAAATGCTGCCGCGCATGCCCGTCCCCAGCACGCAGAGGCAGCTGTTTAGTTGGGGAAGTGTGGCCAAGTGGTGAAAGGCTGTGGTCAGAGCACGGGGACCAGAAGTCAGGAAGATGAGCACACCAAAATCAGTTCCCCGGGGGACTTGGGGAAGTCACTGCTCAGACGTGCTTGACAGCTTTTGGCCTTTGTCTGTTTCCCATACTGATGTTTGCTTCGTACCCACCACATGGCTGGCGCACAGTAATGTCTGAATGAGTGAGTGAGTGAACGAGCACATGCCCTCATCTAGGCGAGGAAAACGCAGGACAGTGGTGGCAAACCTACGGCACATGCACCGCAGCTGGCTCTTTGTTATCATGGAACGCTCTAAACAGTTCGCCATCACTGATGTAGGTGATTGTCCTTAAGCAGGACTTAGAAAGAAATAGACAGTGCTCTTTATATCTTTGGAAAGACTGACAGGCTGAGTCTTCTACTCTTGGGTGTGAATAGGCAAAAATTGGGAAAGAGGAAAAAGATGTTTGGGCTATTTTCAAGTGGTGCAGACTGTGTGTAACGTTCTAGTGGTTCATAATGACAGATCAAACTCAGTCTTGCTGTGGAGCCCCATGGGAAGGACAGCCACCATCCGTACATAAGTACCACAGTCTGCAATGACAGTGGCCATGTTAGCAGCACAACTTGACTTATTCATTTTAAAATGCCTGCACCCAACAAGGAGGAGAAGCATCCCGCAATTCCGGCTGGGCTCACACACACGTGCACCCAACACTCGGCCTTAGAGGTCAAGGTTGCTCACCCTGTGCCTCAGACTGTGAGCAAAAACATCGCCTCTATTTAGAACAGTGGAGGCACAGAATTGCTGCCACCACAACTAATTAGTGCTAGTGATTTATCCTCTTTGGGAAAAATTCTGTTTCCATTCTGAACCACTCTTGGCTTTCTGACAGCAGATGATGATTCAGTGGGATCCCCATCCTGCTGCTGATGCCAACATTTAAACAAAGCTCTGTGTGGTCCATGGGACACACTCCATCTGGAGCTCGGGAAACTGGAGCCAGCTATGGGGACGAGGACCGACGCGCCTGAGCCCAAGCTAGCAGCATCCTTCCCCGCCACCACCATG